CTCCGTCGGAGGCTTGAGGAGCAAGACGCTCAGATCCTAGGACACGCTCAAACCCTCCATGAGTTACATACCAAGATAGAATGTCAAAATCAAATGCTTCAAACGTATGCTGGCTACATGGGCAGCGCTAACGCTGCATGAGCAGCACGTCAGTTTCCGGATCCACTTCCGCCTCTAAGGTCACCAGTTGTGACGTCATCTCCTGAATTCTGTCCCAGTCTCCCTGAAAAGTTCTCAGGTAACCAGAAGGACTGTATGGGATTTTTGTTTCAATGTCGTCTAATTTTTGAGAACTCTCCTGGCAGCTTCCCTACAGATAAGAAGATGATAACTTTTATTTTGTCCCAACTAACTGGGCGAGCCCTAGAGTGGGCGGAGGCAAGGTTTGCCTCCGAGGACAGTTTCAGATGTACATTTTCTGATTTTGTTTCTGAATTTTCTGTTTAATCAGGACTCTGATCAAACAATTGACTCTTGAGCTCTGCTGAATTTAAGGCAGGGAAATTCCACGGTGGCTGAGTTTTCCATTGACTTCCGGGTCAAAGCCGCAGCTTCCGGATGGAACGAATGTGCTCTCAAGAGTGCCTATTTTAAGGCACTAAATGATAATATCAAGGACGAACTTGCTACTCTCGACGAACCAGCTAGTCTGGAGGAATTAATCCGCCTAATGATTAGGTTGGACAACAGACTTCGTGCTAGAAACAGCTCAAGACTAAAGAGTCAAACATTTTTTTGTGTCTGCCCCTGCATTGAATAATGCTTCTGTTTTTTATGGATCCACAGAACCCGTTTCCAAGCCAAGGCCTAAAACCCAGACTCTTTCTATGCCTGTCCAGGTATCTCACTCAGTTGAGACAGAAGCCGAACCCATGCAGGTTGGACACACAAGGCTAATCCCTTAGGAAAGATTACGACGTTTCAGGGGCAAATTGTGCATATACTGTGGTGAGACTGGCTATTTCATTGCTTCATGCCCTGCTAAGTCAAAAGCCGGGGCCCGTCAGAGGAACTGAGGAGTCTGACGGGCCATTTGAAAACTGAAAAGTCTCCTCATTTGACGCTTCCAGCCACTCTGTTTTTCTCTAACCAGAATCTCACATTGTCTGCGTTTATTGACTCTGGATGTGAGCGTAATCTTATAGACTCTAACCTGGTTCTGCAACTACAGATTGAAACTGTCCCGTTAGTCAAACCACTCAGTGTCTCTGCTATTGATGGGAAGAGACTCCATCAGGTTACCCATCAAACGCAACCTCTAGAGCTGTTGATCTCTGGAAATCATCGTGAGACTTTAAAATATTTTGATCTTCCTTCCACATGTTCTCCCTTGGTGCTTGGTTTTGAGTAGCTGGAGCGACATAATCCCCATATCAACTGGGCTGAACGCCACATTGAGTCGTGGTCGACCTCCTGTCATGAAACACGCCTTCGTTCTGCAGCTCCCGCTGTACATTCTCCTAGAGGTAGGGGGGAGATGGACTCTCCTGACCTCACTTCTGTCCCTTCCGAGTATCATGATCTGGCTCCTGTCTTCAGTAAGGTCAGTGCTACGTCCCTTCCACCTCACAGACCATATGACTGTGCAATGGAGCTTTTACCTGGAGCTCCCCTGCCCAGCAGCAGACTTTATAAAATTTCCAGACCAGAACGTGAAACCATGGAAAAATACATAAATGAGTCCCTAGCTGCTGGAATAATCCATCCATCTTCTTCTCCGTTTGGTGCTGGTTTCTTTTTTGTGGGCAAGAAAGATGGTTCCTTAAGACCTTGTATAGACTACAGAGGCCTGAACCAAATAACTGTTAAAAATAAATACCCACTTCCGTTACTATCATCAGCATTTGAACCAGTACAAGGGGCTACTGTCTTCACCAAGCTCGACTTAAGAAACGCATATCACCTTCTCAGGATAAGAGAAGGTGACGAATGGAAGACAGCCTTTAAAACCCCTTTGGGCCAGTTTGAGTATCTGGTTATGCCTTTTGGTCTTACTAACG